AATTCCTCTTATCAGTATCAAACTCGTATGAACCAATTGAAATAATTAGTCTTTTTAATATGAAAATTTATAACTAATATTTCAAACTTTTTCACCAATTTCCATGATTATCTCTATCGAACGAATGAGTACTAGAATATGTAAAAGCAATTTCATCAATCTTTCAAATATATACCATGATTTCAAGAAATAAAACAATTTAATTAATAAAAATAGTTAATTCAAGAAAAATATATATATTAATAATTGCAAATAGTTGAAAACAATATTTTGATAGAAGAAAATTTGCTAATATAAAATTGATTGGGATGTTATCCATTTACCTGTAGTACTTTCAATGTTCAAAATTCACTCCTTACAACCTCAATCGAGTATCTTTTCTTTCAAATATCCTATAACAATAATAAGGTCTAAATAAACTTTCTATAAGTTTGATAAACCATCTTCCAACATTAACACAACCAATATTTAATCCAAGTAATTTAATGTTCCTAACAGCATCTTTTAAATCACAAAATTTCCCATAGTTAAATATTAATTAAGAGTGTGTGTCAAACTACTAGCAAATACTTTATCAGTCCACCATTCATATATTACTCATTTTCTTGAATACCTTAAGTACATCCCCAATTTAAGTTGTAAAGCAATACTCTAGTTTATAATCATCACCCACAATGAACTTTATCATATTTCATTCACTTATTTTGTCTTACACCTTAAATACATTCTCAAAATTAAACGATAAAACAATATCAATCATAGATTAACTAACATAAAACTTCCAAAATTCAACTAACCACACAATATCTTAAAAACAAGTTCTTTGTAATATTCAAGTTAAAAATCAACTAAATAGAATTTGAACCAGTCATTCTTCTCACCATAATTAATAGGATTTAATAAAATGTATAATCAAGCAAAACTCTTCTAGCGGGCATTTTATCGGACAACTTATGAACACCAATCCTTAAACTAATACCAAGCCTCTTCCCATCCACTTCCATTCCTAGAAATTCTCTAATATCAATATTTAAATAAATCAACCTCCCAAATTCTATTTCTTTGATCAATTAATTAGCCATAATTCAAGAAAAATCAATTCCTCATCTCCCCCATTCTTCACGGCAGCAAGAAAAGGAAACAACTATTACAATTTTCACCATTTAAACACACCCACACAAAATGAACAAGGAGTATAGGGAGAGACTGGACGCACTTGAAGAAAACAGAGACAGAAGAAGGACGACGATGTTGCAGGGGAGGAGATGACCATTCAAAACTCCTACAACAACGAACTAACTCCCTTAACAGCATCAGTCTTGAAGCGTGACGGACGAATGGACAGACGACGACTCTCAGCTCCCTCTTCAATAACCGCAAAGACGGAAAGAGAATAAAAGAGCCCGACGCAAGAGCCAGGAAGGAATAGGGGAAGAAGAATCTGGCAACGTGAATAAAAGAGGAGGAAGAAGAGTCTGGCGCACCTTCTCTTTACCGGTGGCTGGGAGTATAAACGACAAAGAGACCAAAGGTTGGAGGAAGATGGATAAAGCTTCTAGACGAGCTCTCCCTTACTGTCTCAATTGATGCAAAATGTGTAAAATGAATCGGGAAAGTGGAACAAAAACAGATAGGGATGAGGGCATAATGGTAATTTCTGGTCAAACTAGTAGCCAAATAAAAATTCTGTTCTTGCACTGAGAGGGTTCAAACCTGGAACCTAATAGTTAGTTAACTGACATAACTCCACTATGCCACATTCCCTCTTGTCATGTCTGCACCAAAAATTAATAAAAATGCATTCGAAATACCTTAATATAAATTTATCTTATACTAATTATTATTATTATTATTATTAATTTTGTTGGGCTATTACAATTTTGAAAGTGAAATTTCACAATTTTTGCATGACACAACTACCCTTTTCACATCAGATAATAATTTTTCAGATGCTCACCTTTTTTTATGTTCAACAAGGGCATCTGAGATTGAGATATTAGATTTGTCTAATAAACTATTTGGAGAGCTTCCTAATTGTTGGGGCCAATTCAAATCATTAGTCGTTTTGGTTTCAGGAGAACTTCCAGCTTCTATCAGCTCTCTAGAAAGACTTGCAAAACTAATATTAAGAAACAATACGTTTATTGGATAGTTGCCTTTTGCCTTAAGGAGTTGCTCATATTTATCGCTTCTAGAAGCAGGGGAAAAAAATTTCTCTGGACATATACCTTTATGGATTGGAATTGGTTTACATGAGTTATAAATTTTATCATTTCGAAAAAATAACTTCTCTGGAAACTTACCAATTCATCTTTGTTATTTGTCAAGCCATAATTTCTTAGATCTCTCATTGAACAATCTTTCAGGAAAGATACTTAGATGCTTCGGAAATTTTACACAAATGGCTTTAAATGATGATTTATATTCTTTTGGTTATGGCTTTGTCATTGATAATCATGTGGAATTTTCATCTGAGATTAGTGCATTGCTGATGTGGAAAGGTATGGAACAAACCTTTAAGGAAAATATTCCTTTAAAAGGCATTGATCTTTCAAGCAATCAATTCATGGGAGGAATTCCAGTTGGATTAGGAAGTTTGTTCAAATGGTATCTTTGAACTCATCAAGAAATCAATTAGGTGAAGAAATTCCTTTAGAGATTGGACAATTAACATTATTAGAATCTCTTGATTTATCAAGAAATCATTTCTATGGTCCAATTCCTTCAAGCCTTACTCAGATTTATGGTCTCTCAGTGTTGAATTTGTCATATAACAACCTTTCTAGAAAAATTCCAACAGGCACACAATTGCAAAGTTTCAATACTTCAAGCTATGAAAGAAATGTTGACCTTTGTGGAAAACTACTTGAAAAAATATGTCCTAAGGAGGAGAAACATCAAGAGCCAACTAAATTCAAAGAAGATGAGCATGAATCAATTCTCTCCAAAGAGTTCTATTGGAGCATGTCATTGGGATTTATCACAAGATTTTGGGGAATTTTCAACTCGATTCTTTTTAATCACTCGTGGAAACATGCCTACTTTAGATTTCTAAAAAATTTGACAAACACTATGGTTGTTCTAACCATGGTAAATATGACTAAATGCAATTGGTGGTTCAAAGGGTACTTGGTAATCAATCGTATATGCATCTTTTCTCTTAATTTTCTATTTAAAAGTTTATCTATATTTTTTAAAAGATAAAAATATTATTTTTCCCCTTTCATTTTGCAGGAGAGACAAGGATAAGACCTCCAAGTTTAAGATGGGATGTGATGCATGCTATGCTGGATATATAACATGAGCCGAATATTAGAGCATACATGTTGCTGAGCTTTTAAATACTATGTTCTATTTTGTGCTATTTGCTGTGTTATGCAATATTGCAACCATGATTTATGTATTTGTTTTGCTGTTTTGAGTACGAAGGTTTCTAAGAAGATATTTTTTTTCCTTCTCAAAAATGAAACCAACACATTGGAATGAATTCCAACCATTTTGAAATCCATTAGATGCTCCCTCCCTCTACATATGTGTGTGTGTGTGTGAAAAATGCCTTACTTTTAATTCTACATTTTCTACAACACTAGAATGATATCCTTATATCCATTTAGATGTGAGTGCTTGATCAAGCTTCGTAGGGGAAGTAAACCAACTGAAACTAATGCAAATGCAAAACCAATACGTGCCTTAGCTTTCACATCACAAATCCAAACCCTAAAATCGCCTTATTTATTGGATACTGCACAAATTATTGCCTGTTCAGCTTATTGTAGGCCACCACGTCCCCCGATATATAGTTTGTTATTTCACAACAATCAAAAAAATAAAAAAAAAAAAGAAAAGAAAAGCCCTACCATTAACTTTTGTTTATCAAATAGATTATGTAAACTTCCTATCTTGAATTTTCAAAATCATATTATAAATGATCTTTTTCGAAAGTTACACAGGTCTCTCTTACTATTAAGATCTTGTAGTCCAATGGCAGTGGCCCTGGTCTAGCCCAATAGTTAAGAGTCATGCTCCATGATGTTGGCCAGTCAAATTCTACACTTTTGTATTGTAAGTTCCAGCTCAGAGTATTGCCTCATGTTCCTTATTCTTCTAAAACCCCTCCTCGAAACCTCCTTACTCTTCGCTACTTGCGAGTTTGACAATTGACATTGAGCCTAGTCAAAGGGCTACAAATACAGTTATTAGGTTCTAATGCTCAAGTATTCATAGGCCGATTTGGTTGTATATAAATATATACCATTGATCTCTCAAACTATTCCAACACAATATCATATCTTACAAACTTAAATGAAGATAATTAACAAGTTCTGAAAGATAAGTCTAATTGTAAAACCAGAAGTTTGGCTTCCTCCAAGCAAGAGAACCTGTAATTTATATGGTCACAGTGAAATTAAAGCCTTGTTCTGTGCCGTCTACACAAGAGACTGGATGCAGTAGGATTGGTACTTTTTTTACTCCCTCCGATCTATTTTAAATTATAAGACGACTTTTGAATAAAATATATTGACAAAAATAATATTTTATTAATGATGTTTTTCCAATTATTAGTCTTGAAGTGGGGAGAAAATTGAATTTAAAGCAATTTTAGATCTGTCTCTCCGTACATTGGCTCTCTAGTGCTCATTTTTTTTTAGTCTTGATCCCAAGGTAGAGGGAGAGTGGCCAATTGGGGCCACAATCCTCCCAAATTTTTATTTTATTTTTTAAGTATCATATTAATGTTACATATTTTTGGCCACCCTAAAATTTATAAAAGCTTTACAATATATATATATATATATATATATTAATCTTAGCCTCTTTATTATTAAATCCAAGCTCTGGCCGTAACTTGATTTTATATCCTTGGTTTTATATTAAACTGGTTAACTATGGAAATTTCATGCATGGGCTGATGTTAATAATAATAAAAAGAAATAAACCAAAAAAAAACCCTTTTAGATCTACTGTTTGTATTTGTCATAAAAAAAATTTATCTAAACAGGTTAATAAAAACTAAATAGATTTCTGGTTTAGAGCATCAAAGTTGAAGGAAACGTGGCAGGGAAAGTGTACTAGAGGGAAATAGAAGGAAAAGACGAAACTGCCCCGGCAAAGAATCTATAGCACTCTTCCACCCAACGCAAGCCACTACATGTGAGAAGGAATTTTAGCCTTTTGATCCTCACATCCCTTCATTCCGTTTTCTTTTTCTCCTCCCTTCAAACCAAACACACACAGCACACGCGTTGAAATATAGAGCTGGCTAAAGAAAATTTAAAATTAAAATAGCAAGGGAATAAACAATAAGAACCAAAAAGAATGATAAATAAGGATTTCAAAAAAAAAGAATATCAAATTAAGATTTATTTACTATTAAAGTTTTAAAATTCAGTATTGTTTTTCTTGTATTTCAATACTAATTTTTTTAAAAAAATAATCTTCTCATGAAATTCTCATCAATACTTGTCATGCCCTTATGAAAAACCCCACCATTAAGCCCTTGTACTTTCCTAAGCACATATATATATATATATATATATATACATATATATATATATATATATTATATTGTTTGGGCCTAAAGTTGAAATGCCAACCCAAAAACAAGAAAGAAGTGCCAGAGAAATGACATGATATGTCACACCCTCAAAATAGAGGGTGACCGGCACGAATGCGAACTACATCACGCATTCTCATAAATCTTAAAATAAAAATTCATTCTGTTTTTTAAAAAAAACAATAAGATCATATAAAAATTCTAACACTTTTAATATTAATTGTCATAACAAGACTTCAACATTTTTATAAAAATTTCAGCAAAACCTTCCCTATAAAGGGGATCTCCTGAAAATTCTACAAAAAAATTTTTACAAGATACAATATCAATCAGGAGCTTAACTCCCTCCAGCCAACAATAATATATATATATATATATATCAAAATAAAATCCTAACAACTATCTATGTGAAGCACTAATCTTTCTTTTAAATAAAAAAAATACATACGACTTATGTGTTTATATCAAAAGTAACAATACCAACCAAAATTTTCACCCAATGTAACTATATTGCTTTTCAGAGGTCAGTGGTAAGATTATCGTCAACAAACAAATCTAAGACCAAAATAAATTTTTACTGAATAGCATTCCCAAAGTAGAATTTTAAAAATTTAAATTAACAAACTCTAATAATGGTATAAACTAATTAAAAATATTTCAATAAAATAAACTTGTAGATCTGTAAGTCATAACCACAATCATAAAATGAGAGTAAATTGAAAGTAATTTATTTTATCATGCTTAAAGAAAACAATTTATTCACACATAAATCAAAGTGATATAATTGCTAGCCAAAATCATGTAAATTTCGAAAACACATATTAGTCAACATTCAGAATTTTGAAAACACAACATAACAGGTAACAAACATGGACACACAGTCCATAAGAGTAAATAACCAAACGCGACTTATGCCACGAAAACAAATATGGACGCACAGTCCACGAGAGTATGTAACCAAACATAACCGAAGCTACAAAAACAAATGTGGACACACAGTCCATGAGGATAATACTAACCAAACACAACTCAAGCCACGAAATCAAACGCGAGTACAAAGCCCACAAATACCAAATGTGAGAACAAAACTCACGAGACAAACTAGCTAGTGTTTAACCATAGCGTGCTAACAAAACTACCTTTAACAGCAGTGTTCTATTTAAAGTCCTCTTAAAAATCACGTTTCAAACATGAGAGAAGAATAATTAATTTTAAAATACAATTTACATTTTCAATACCAAACTCGCATGAATCATTTCAAATTTTAATTTAGTACTTGTCGAAAATAATAGTTCATAAATAATGTATAAGCTTACATTAATTGAATAACCAAGAATTTTTAGAGATTTATAAACAACTAATTTCATAATTTTTACAATATATTTCTTGAGGAAATAAATGTACATACCATCACCTAATTATCCATCATTAATATTCCATAAGTTTCAAAACTAACGTAATTCTTAAGAGTAAAATATTTCAGTAAAAATTTATTAAAAATGAAAATAAAAATAAGTTAAGGGGATATTATTCACTTACTCATTGAAGTTCTAAATTTTCAAAGGTTTTCTTTTTTTAATTCTTATCAAGGTCCTGTCCTTTCACACACCCTATAATGATATAAATAAATACAATCTCAATAAATTTTAATTTACTACACAATCTCAACCAACCATCATCGTCTTAAAATTTCAAAACTAAATTTATGCTCTAGAGATGGTCCCAGTATTATCATTCATATCACTGGTTTTTTTCAATATACTTATCGGTCAAAATAGCCCACTTACTTGAGGAAAAAATTTTCATAAGCTTTGCACCAAATATGTCACACCCTAAAAATCAGGTGTGCCCGGCACGGGATATGGGCACAAACTTCACATCCCTTAAGCCGTGATTGGAGGAACTCTGAAATTAATACGTTAAACACACTAATAGAGGAATTAAAAATTGTTACAATATTAAATCAGATATTCAATTTTAAAAGAAACGTGAGGATCTTACCTATAGTCTACGTGGAGCACCTAAGGCCAGACACCAACGTAGGTATAAAGTTCAAATTTTCATCAAACTAGGATTTGACTAAAATAATTCTTCTGCTTCAATTCAGCAATAAAACTCCTCAGTGGATGTCTCGAGTCACGAGTTCAACTATACCATCTAAAACCAAAATATCTTTTCCAGTAAATAACGTCCCAACAATAAATAATAGAACATAAATAAAGTGAAAAATTTAAAATAGTTATGTAAATTAAATAGACAAAATTTTCATAAAAATTTTATAAACTTCATAATAAAATGGCTCTATAAATTTCAAATAAAATCTCAAATTGAATTATCATAGAAAATGATAATATCACTTGATTTCAAGAAAGCACATAAATTAAATAAATATTTATAAACAAATTACTAAATAAAAACCAATAGAATATGAAATCATCAAATGATTGGATTCATAATTATAGGAACTTATCAGAATAATTAACAAACGTGGATACACAATCCGCGAGGGTAACTAACCAAACGCGACTTATGCCATGAAAACAAACGTGGACACTCAGTCTACGAGGGTAAGTAACCAAACGCAGCCGAAACTATGAAACAAACATGGACACACAATCCACGAGGGTAATGCTAATCAAACGCGGCTTGAAGCCACGAAACAAACGTTAGTACGATGCTCACAAATAACCATCCCTCCATTCCACGTGCGTTGGCCATCACACGAGGCTAACACCTCCTATAAACATCTTGCTAGCTAGGTGTATCATGGCGCGCCAAGGGCTAACGGAACTGCCGTTAACAACCAGTGTTCTATATAAAGTCCCTTCCAAATTCAATTTCAAACATTCAAAAAATTGATCATCATTCAATTAAATTTTCCTTTTCAATGTCGAACTCGCATGAATCATTTTTCCGTAGTAATTCAATAATTTCCAAAATAAAATTCCACAATTAGAATTCAAACTTGTATTTACTGATTAACCAAAATGATCAATTCTGGTAAAATAATTTCATGAAATAAAGCAATTTAATCAACAAAATATCTCATAATCACATTGTTGTTATAAAAAGAATTTGTATAAAAATGTAATATTTGAATAAAAGAGATTTTAATGAAATATTAGTTGGGACGCTATCCACTTACCTAAAAATTTCTCAATAATCTTATAATTAGACTCCCTCAATTTCCCGCTTTCTCCAGTGATACTCCAAATTAATCTAGCATTTAAAACCAACCACATTCAACCCCAACCATTAACACTCTTCTTATTCCATGTTTAATAAAAACCTCAGTCATCACATAACCTAACAATTTTCCTTTTTGGTGCTATACAAATCCAACGAGTAAATCAACTTTACAACTTGTATGTAAAGATATATATTTCATCAACAAACTATTCAATTTCAAGGATTCAAATAATCACATCATCATCATCATCATCATCATCATCATTATTATTATTATTATTATTATTATTATTATTATTATTATTATTATCACCTTTGCAATATTCTCTAGCAAACATTTCAACAAACATCTTATAAACACCAATATTTAAGTTTTATATTTAAGCTATTCTTTTCCAACTTCATCCTAACAAATTTTTCAACATCACCCAATCTAAACAATTAGTTCAACTCAAAAATTATGACCCATGAGTATATCATTCTCAATCTTTAAGATAAATTGGCAGCTCAATATTTGAATTGTCTCTTCCCTATAATAGCACGGCAGCAACAAAAAACACACTAAAATTCGGTAGTTTCATGGACACACAGAGCAAACCATACTCTAACACACAGCAACAACAGTCCACATTCACAAGTGCAGAAAATTATTTCCAATTCAATTTAAATTTCTTCCTTTTTTTCATCGCACGGATAGCAACATCACAAGAGGAAAAAAACTTCAACTAATAATTCACGCACTCACACACACAAGATTATCAAGAAGAAGATCTCAATGCTTCTCACCTTAATCATAGATAGCACAACAAGAAGGGAGAAGATTTGCAGGAGCTGTACAGGGGAAAGGAAGTCCAACAAAACTTGATGGAGGAGGAGGAGGAAAGAGACGCTGTTGCACGAAGGAGGAGGACGAAGGACGAGCTTCACTCACCAGCACCTAAATGATGTCAATGAGGAAGGGAGAAGAAGTAATCGATGGTGAAACAAAGAACAGGGGAACGACGAACTCATGACTCCGACCTCTTCAACAGTGAGCAACAGAATTGTAGACTGAAAAAAAAACTTGAGCTTATTATTCACGCACACACGAGCCTCCAACAGCTGAGGAGGAAGAAAAACTAAAGCTAAACACACACGCACATAGAACTGTCGAACCTAAATGAAGAAGCAGCGAAAACAGGGATGAATGAAGGATTTTGATTGCTCCACACGCTCAACAGAAGAGATAAACCAGCAAAGCAAGATGCACGCCACCAGTGAGAAGAAGAATAAGTTCAAAAGTGGGGAGGAAGGTTTCGAAAATGATGAAAGAAACGAGATCTAAGTCGATGAAGAGAAAATTCTAGGATGTTTTGTTTTTGCTTCCACACACACGAGATATAAAACTAAAGAAAAGAACTTTTGGAAATATCACGAGAAAGAACACGAGAAAATCACAAGAAAAAGCACAATAAAATTACAAGAAAGGGCACTACATTCTCTTGTAATTTTAAAATCAAGCTTTTGTTCAAAAAACTTTAGACCCTAAGTCCTTGAGAAAATTTCTAGCATAAATTCTTATAAACTATCCCTTTCTACTTGCTATTAAACTTATTTAAATAAAATATTTATTAAAAGAATAAAAAATTATTTAATTTAAAATTTAGGGTCATTACAAAACACCTTAGGTGCCTTAATCTCTGTCATTCAATTAAAATATCAAAAAAAATCTACCAATCACCATACAAATTTCAAGTATCTAGATAGCTACATACAAGCTCATTCTCAAATTCCTTTACAAATTTACAAGTTAATTTCTAAAACAATAACTTCTATATCAGCATATTTCTCACAAGAACCAATGAAATTTCAAAATCAAGTTTAATTCTTCTAACAAACATTCAAACAAACAACTCGCACCAATATTTAAGTTTATATTTATATTATTCTCTTCCAATTTCATTCTAATAATTGCATCAACATCAACCATTTCAAACAAATTAATTTAACTCCACAATTATGACATGTATATATCATTACCAAGCTGTAAGATAAATTCCAAGCTCAAATTTGAATCTTCTCCTTCCTATAACCGTACAGGCAGTAGCAGAACATTCAAGTTTTTATAATCTCGGTCATCAACTTACACTCTCTCTCTCTCGCACAGGTTCATCTAGAAAGAATGATGAAGAGTTCTCACCTTAATCACTAACTAATAACAGCAAATGAGGGAGAGATCAAGAAGCTGCCGACAGAATAAGGAAAGAAGATGGAATTTTTGTCTGAACAAAGGAGAAGGAAGACAGAGCACCACTCGAAAGGGAGAAAAACAACAAATTCAGCATCAGATCGAGCTCGTGATCAGTATCCCAGCTTCGGCGACCCGATTACTTCCATCCATCAGCGACTTAATATGAACGACAAAGGCAGAATAGCAACCAAGGAAAATAGACAAAGACAGGAAGCACAAAGAAGAACCTGAACGTATTAGAGTAGCGACGATCCCTCAACTTCACCGGTGATGAGAATAGGGGGAAGGGGGGGAAGATGATGGACAGAGATTTCTGGGTCTGAACTTCGAAGCTACAGAGACGAATTTTCTAGTTCCCTCTTCAACTTTTCACGCGTGTAATAGTACAGCAGAGAAGAAATAATAATCAGATTGAAGGGAGGGCAAATTTGTAATTTCGGACAAACTAAAACAAAATTAAAATTCCATTTGCATCAGGGGATTCGAACCTGAAACCTTATAAGTGAGTAGCATCCATACTTTCACTCTACCAACACTTAATATCATCATAATTATTTTAAGAATTAGTATAATTACTATTAAAAAAAATTTATTTATTATTATTATTATTCTTCTTCTTTTGATCTAGAGTGAATAATTATAAAAGGGCTAGAGAATCACGAGAATAAATAGTGAATCATCAACAACACTATATCAATATTTTCAAACAATGATTTTACTTTCTAAATTTACCTTATATTTCAATATCAAGTTGCAATTAACGCAACCATATATTTTTATTTTCACTATTAATTCAAAGGAGATTTTGTTTTAATCTCTTTACATCTTTACATTTGGATAAACTGTAATTGAAGGAGCTCAACGACCTTCTTATTATTTGTAAGACTCAACATCCCTAGCATACCTGATATTTGACTCCTATCTTATTTTTAATGCAAAAATTCTTTAAATAGGCTTTATGAGTACTTTAAGGTCATATAGGAGTGCTAATTTACTTGATTTTTCTATTCTCATCTCGTTTTTTAAGACATTTTTCCCTTTCTTTGTTTCCTCCCTTTTGAGTTTCCACACCACTTTTTTTTTCTTTTGTATTACTGGACTGACTTTCCTTTTCTTTGATTTATGTCAGTTTTGTCCTGTTCACCACTTAGATTATGGTCCACAGACTATTCTAGTCATCAACTTCTCTTTTGTTTTGTTTTGTTTTTTCATTTTTAAATAGGAAATGTCCTTGCTTTCCCAAGTTCAAACCATTTCAAAGTACCATTTGCTTTCAAGTTATCTCTATTTTTTCTTCACTTCTTGATTGCTTCATATGGAACCTCAATTTCTTCTAAGAATGTATGTATTGGCGTTAGTTGTTGGTGAATCAGAAAAGGATTCTCTACTCTGTAGTATAGAGTGGATCCGCTGCAGTCCTGCAGTCATTTTTTGACTGTAGGGTGCAGTCATCACATATCAGCCACTAGATTTATGGAATGATTTATATCAAGGCTTGTGGCAGTTAAGTTTCTGTTTTCAACTTGCTCTGTAAAATCGATGCACTCCACCTTGTGTATCTCATTCTCCTCTTTATTCAGCGATTTTTTAAATTATTTTATTTTAATTTTAAGACAAATCACAGAAGTGTATTTTTACTGTCTGACTTAATACGAGGTTTCCAATTGATCTCGTACTTTTATAAAGTACCTTTCTAATTCCTTAACCTTATCACCATTAATCTAATTAACAAAAAATTGCTGACACAACAATTTTAAATACTGACAAAGCATTCTCAAATGTGAATTTTTTAATTAAAATAAGCCACAAAAGAACACTTCATAATTAGATTAACGTGTTAAGATTGGGGTTTTAAAAGGATCGTCTCCGGGTTTAGAGTAAAGGATTTTTTTAAGGGGATGTTTCCTTTAGTGGATTTAAAAATGTTAAGGACGTCAACAGGAGGACACGGCAGAATAAGGAGGTCCAAACAAGAATGCATTTGTGGATCTTGGAACTAATATGGTTGGCTCAGAAGGAATTTGATTTGTTTGTTGCTTTTAGTAGTTGAAATGGTCTGGCTTGCATGTAGTCATTACTTATCATGCAAAATCTCTGGTGATTGCAGCTTTTATCATGTATGCAGAAATATAAATGTTATTGGCACTTGCATTATCTTAAGAAAACGGGGTTGAATGTGTTTGCAATGAAATATTTAATAAAACTTCTCAAGGCATACCTCCCTCACTTGCTACTGATAGTGAAGAAAACACAGAATGAGAGGAAGAGAATTGGGATCCAAATTTATAGCTTTCCAACCAGATATGATGTGGGTTTTAGGGTGAGCTCATGTTGCTCTTTAGTTCGACGTTTTTACTTACTTGAGGATGTGATTAAGCCATGCAACTCTGCTATTATTTAATAGCACAGAAATTGAGCATCCTTCCCTTAGCTAGTGATAGAATGAAGACAATACATTTTTTTAATAAAAAAAAACTGAAAGAGAATACAACTTAGAAAACCAGAATTAACATTAGGGTAATAAAACACTCCAATGATGATTCTACCTGCTTAATTCCTATGCCTAAAGGCCTCTCAGAGAACAATCCACCAACTGTTATGTTTTTATAATCTTGACATTAGTTAGTTAGATATAGCCGTTAGTAGGTGTCTGTGAGTAGCTGTTAGGGCTCTTCTTATTTCCTATTCAATTGTATTGAGATGAATGACAGATTAATGAAATCTTAGTATTATTCAGTATCTCTTATCTCTTTTCTCTCTAATCTCCCTCAACCTCCTTCTTTCCTAACCTTCCTGTTCTTCTCTCAATCTATCTTCTTACTATAATCCTCTACTTAAAATTACAAACATATAACACCAACCCTCTCCCTTACTCTCCCCTGTTTAAAATGCATGAGTTGGTTGTTCACTCTTTATGCACCTACCACCTCACGGTCTGTTTTGGTCAGTCCCTTTTTCCTTATTCTTGATTTCTTTCTTACATTGATCTTTCCATATGGCTGAGCATTACTGGGTCCTTCATGTCCTAACCCAGCGAGCTGCACCTTTTCCCCATTGTGAAACTGGAGGGTGAGGATACTTGTATCCAGAATTAGGTTAAACTATGGTGTCAGCCAATTTGAAACACTCACCAGCAAAATTGGTTAATTTGTTCTCTGGCTGAAACTATGGATTTTGCATTACCATGTGGCCTTCAACAAACAGCACAGCCACTTCTGTGCCTATAAATGGTATTGCCATAATCTACTGGACTTGAGTAGGAGTTGGGAAGTCCAGTTATAGGCTCATGTCCTTGTACTTTTTCCTTGACTATAGCTGCAAATTAAACCACGTAGACTTAAGCTTGTCCTCTCACTGCTTGGTTTGAATCATGATAACATGGTTTTGCATTGATAAGGAGGAATTTTGATTTCTTTATTTAAAATTTCATTCAATTTTAAAGTAGGATTAGATATATCTGCAAAAGCTTATTAACCATCTGGAGTGGTCAATCAATGTTCTGACTCTTGGTCACTTCTTGTCTCCTTGGTTTTATATTAAACACGTTAACGGTGGGAACTTCATGCAGGGGCTGATGGAGGAGAATATCCAGCTTAACACTAAGGTTTTGTCAGAGATTTCCATGCACGAGCCATTTAGCTGAGTTAGTAACAGAATGGTTGAGCATCTTTATGGATTTTTCCCCTTGTACTCAATTAATTAATTACTATCTGTGATCTCGTTTTGTCGGGAGCTGCCCCAGCGTTGGTAAGATTTGGCCTTGATGGGATTCTTATTTTTCTCATAACACATACAAGTTGCCATCTAATGAGAAAACCACCTAATAGACATAAATTGATGACTGCTTGGTTGACTGGTGAACTGATCCTGTTGATTGATCAAACTGATTACTTTGTAACTTAGTTTCAACTCGGTGAACCTAGCTTCAACTTAGGAAAATTTGGCTAACCTTGCAAGTTTAATGGGTTAACTTGGGATAGATTTTATTCTATTTATTTTTCTTTTTTTCCCTTTCTCTTCTAAATATTGAACGCTAAATCAAATTTAAATGCCTTAATTAATATTTTTAATGATGTTGTATTTTATTGTTGTCAGAAACTTATAATTAATATTTGTAATGGACATGTATAAGATTTTATGGATGAATTAAGGGAAAATATAACCATTGGTCTCTATAGTTTTATTGTGTTTACTTTTAATGCTAACTAAACGCGACTGAAGCCGCGCAATCAAACGCAAGTACAATACCCACTAACAACAAACGTGAGGATAAAACTCACGAAATTCAAACTAACTAGTTATTAACCAAGGCGTCGAGGGCTAACGGAATTACCGTTAGCAACTAGTGTTCTATATAAAGTTCTCTTAGAAATCACGTTTCAAACATGCAAGAGAGATAATTATTTTTGAAATAAAATTTTCATTCTCAATACCAAACTCACATGAATTATTTCAAATATCAAAACTTGCCAAATTAATACTTAAAGAGCTAATGTGCAATCTTGCATTAATTATGTAGCCAAGAAATTCTGAAGTTCAATAAACAAAGATACTTTCATCAATATTAGAAATACATTTCTTGAGGAAAAATAAATGCACATAATATAATTTAATCATCCTTCATAATTATTGCATAATTTCCAAAACCAAAACAATTCATAAAAATAAAATATTTCAGTAAAAGACTATTAATAAATAATTAAATGGAATGCTATTCATTTACTTGTCAGAGTTTTCAAAGATGTTCTTCCTTTAGTTCTTGTTAGGGTCATGTTCTTCCACACACGCTATAAGGATATAAATAAATACAGTTTTTAATGAATTTTCAATTTTTAACATAATTCCAAATCAACCATCATTATCTAAAATTTCAAAACTAAATTTTTGCTTCAGAGATGGTCCCTGTATTATCATTCAGATGGTCCCTGTATTATCATTCATATCATTGGTCTCCTCCAATTTGTCTTAACCATGCCAATCAATTTTTTTCTTGAGACATAATTTTCTCTCAGACCTTGCACCAAATATCTTAAGTACATTATTTCTACCCATTCAATTTAAAACATCCCACCATTTACCAATAACCATACTAATCCCAAGAACCTTTCAAAATATTTAAAAATCAAGTTTAATTCCTCTAACAAACATTGCAACAAACATCTTATAGGCACTAATTTCAAATTTCACACCTAAGCTCTTTTCTTTCAAATTCATTTTA